GGCTTGTCCTTGCTTCTTTGCTTAAATACCCTCACTCCTGGCTCTCCATGGTCTTCCATTTTTTGCCGTCAGCTTATATAGAAAATTTTAGATAGAAAAATATGTTTATATGTGGTTCATGCAGTAGTTTAAGTATACATATTTTATTTTATTTTATTTTTGCTTTTTGAGTCACACCCAGTGATGCACAGGGTTACTCCTGACTCATGCACTCAAGAATTACTCCTGGCTGTGCTTGGGGGACCATATGGGATGCTAGGTATTGAACCTAGGTCATCTGCATGCAAGCAAGTACCCTACCCTCTGTACATTGCTCCAGCCCCAGTATATATATTTTAATATTTCCTCACATAAATTACAAACTTTGTCCTATGTTTTGGTTTGGTCTGAATTTTAGGCTAAAGCAAAAAAAAAAAAAAAACCTAAACTAAACCAAACCTGTCTCTGAATTCAGGGGTCACTCCTGGTGGGCTCAAGGGGGTCAGGCAGGGATCAAACCCAGATCAGCCTCATGCAAGGCTCATCCTACCTCTTCTATTATCTCTCCAGCTCCAAGATTACAACTTTTTGAAAGACACTGATTTGTTTTAAGAGTTAATAGCCTGCCAAGCTACCTATGATGTATTCAATATGCTAAAAGCAGTAACAACAAGTCTCACAATAGAGACATTACTAGTGCCCACTCAAGCTAATCAATGAACAATGGTAGGACAGTGATACAGTTCTACATTGTCTTTTACATATACTCATTAATGAAAGTAAAGTATATAGGGTAAAATAAAGTGTACAGGGATTATTTTTCATGGATATTAACTTGAGGTTCATTTGTATATTAGTACAATTTGATTATACTTATTCCCACTCATATCAGAACTATCCTCTAAGCCAATCTTCACATGTAAGAGATGCTGGATAACTCATAGTACCTAGACATCCTATGATTTCTGGAACCAGTTCTCTTCTTACAAGAAATATTTTTGAACTAAATCTAAGATATTCCTAGCAAAGTCTTGAAAGAAACCTGCTGAACTTCCATGTTTTCACACTTAAGTCCCAGGAGGCATCTAACTAGAAACTGTGACACAGTGCTCATGCATTTGAAGAATGAAAACATTCTTGCTTTCATTTTTGACACATCCTATTCTATGAGTTTAAGTAATTACTTTATTTTGATAAAATCCAGGAAACCAGTGGCTTATGGGGATTCTTTCATAAAGGAGGATTGGAAGATATGGCTAAGAAGATGGTGGGCAGCCTTAGAGTTAGTTGCTTTCCTCTGAATTTGGAAGGCAGGCGAAATTTTCTAGTGGACTGGAAAGAAAGAGATGAAGGCAGCTCAGAAACTGAGCATATAACTTCATCCTTTATTGCCAAACCTCTCAAGTTCTTTAGGCTACACCCAGTAGTGTTTCAGGCTTACTCCTGGCTCTATGCTTAAGGAAGGCAATCCTGGCTGGACTCATATGTGGTGCTGGGGATCCAAGATTTGTCAGCTGCATGCAAGACAAATGCCTCTGTACTATCTCTCTGGCCCCTTGACCAATAAATTTTTGAAAGCCATCTTGTCAAAATGATGATAATAGTAAACATTTTTTCAGGCAGTTCTGACACAATTGTGTAAGTTAAGAATTATTATTGTTATGCTTAATTTTGATAAGAATAATCAGTGGTTTAAAAGGATTAGCACAGGCTCCAGTTTCTTTGGAGGAAGGTGTTCCCTAGGCCTTCAAATCATCCTGACTGTAGAACTCATGTTCATGATCTTTGTGGAATCTCAGACTGGTCCTTATAAGTAGCTGCCTTTGGATATTAAAAAAAAAAAAAAGTACAGGGTGCTGGGAGATACTACAGTGGTTAAGACACTTATTTTGCATGTAGTAGGTGACCCAGTTCAATCCCCAGCACAGCATATGGTCTCCAGAGCAGCACCGGAAGTAATCCCTGAGCACAGAGCCAGGAGTAAACCCTGAGCACTGCCAGTGAGGTCCTAAAACCATAACAAATGAGCAAAAGAACAAAGTTCATTTCTGATCCAACTTGAAATTCCTACTAAAAGGCTTCTAAATCATAGTATACTTTCAATTGTTTTTGGATAAGGAGAAATGTTCAGTGTTTTAGACTTGAAAAGCATGAAACCTTATAAAATAAAAATTTATAATAATACAATTAGGATGAATCTTAATTGAGAGAAATTACTGTAAGTAGGAAAAAAGTTGCATGTTTAGAAATCACATGCTTGTTTTCTAATTCAGAAAATTATTGTTCAGATTTGTTAAAGTCACACATTGATATTTTCAACATCATAGACACAGTGAATAACATAGTAGCAAGACATTGTATAGTGGTTTTGGTGTGCATGTGTGTATTTGTGTGTGTGTGTGTGTGTGTGTGTGTGTGTGTGTCTGGGCCACACATGGCAGTTCCCAGCACTTACTCCTTGCTGTGTGTTCAGGAAAAATTCCTTGCAGTGCTCTGGGGACCATAGATGATACCACAGATTGAATCTGGGTTGACCACTTGAAAAGAGCAGTGCCTTATCAGCTGTATTAGCTCTCTGCCTTTTATTACATAACAGGATGCTCTAGATTATTTGTGCATATCACCTCTATATTATTATGCCACTTTGTATTTTTGAAAATACTCTTTCCCTTACGTATTTCATTTTGGAAAGTTTGCACGTAATATTCATTTAAAAAAAAGTAGCAGCTGGGGCTGGAGCAATAGCACAGCCAGTAGGGTATTTGTCTTGCACATGGCCAACCCAGGTTCGATTCCCACCATCCCATATGGTCCCCTGAGCACCACCAGGAGTAATTCCTGAGTGCAGAACCAGGAATAACCCCTGTGTATTGCCGGATGTGACCCAAAAAGCAAATAAATAAACAAATAAAATTTAAAACGCGAGCAGCCTTGAACAGATAAAGAGAATCCAAAGAGGAAACTTGTTGAGAGTGTAGCTGGGACCATGACTCCAGTTCAAATATCCACAGCACATGTGATCCCCTGAACAAAGCTAGGCATGGTCCCTGAGGAAACCATGTGCTCCCCCAATAAAAAAGCTAATATCTTCAGTTTTAGTTTTCTTTTTCAGTTGTGCGTGGGTCTCGGCCGGAGCTGCCGCGCGGGTCCGGAAAGCGTCCTGGAGTGTGGCAACGGCTGGGTAGTGGAAGTAGTGTCGAGAGTGGAAATCTGCCAGTGGGGTATTTATCTGGGTAGGGTGGGTCTCCTGTGCACAATTCGATCCCTGGGTGGTTGATGGAAGCAGACAGGGCAGGGTAGGGTGGGGCTCCTGATTAGAATCCCTTTGTCACCTGTGGTGGTGGGAGCAAGCAGAGAAGCTCTGTCCCTGGGTCCGCCGAGCCTGGAGTCCAAGGTCTCAGAGAGTTCCACTTATCTTGTTCTGTGGGTCTTCAGTTTTGCGTGGGTCTCGGACACTACTTCCACTACCCAGCCTTCGCCACACTCCAGGACGCTTTCCGGACCCGCGCGGCAGCTCCGGCCGAGACCCAAAAGTATATATTGATTTTGTTTACTGATTTTGTTTATATAATTTGTTTGTGTGGCTGACCCAGGTTCAGTCCCTGATACCACATATGGTCCCCTTATCCTTACCAGGAGTGATCCCTGAACACAGAGTCAGGACTAAATTCTGATCAAAAATGGGCTAGGTCCTCAAGCAGTACATTCTTTGCAGTGCCTGGGGGACCATAGGTGATACCAGGAATTGAATCTGGGTTGACCACTTGAAAGACCAACACCTTATCAGCTGTACTAATGCTCTGTCTTTTATTATATAGCAGGATGCTTTAGATTACTTCTAAATATTTGTTACCCTTTTGGTATTTATTATTCACAACTTGTATGCACAACATACCTTTTTAGTCTAATTTGTCCAAATTTCAGGCATCCCGCTATAAATATTTTATTTTGTTTTTTGTGGGTCACACCTAGTGGTACTCAGGGGTTACTCCTGGCTCTGCACTCAGAAGTCATTCCTGGCTAGCTTGGGGGACCATATTGGATGCCAGGGATTGAATTGGATAGGCCATATGCAAGACAACTGCCCTACATGCTACACTATCTCTCCAGCCCAGAATTTCCATTTTTTGTTTTATTACATCATCTATCATATTTTGTCTGGTAATAAACTTCTTATTATATTAATGTGAGCCACCCAGAAAACCAGAAAGTCTAAATACTTTCTTATTTTCTTATAATTAGATTACATTAGTTTCTATTAGCAGAAACCCAATAACATTTGAAAAAGTGTTAACATTTTATTTTTGTGGAATGTTTTCATCATTTTGCGTCTCTTTTTAATCATAATCCATTATGGAAGTCTCTTCTCTCTGCCAGATTTCCCACCTGTGGTTTATAATTTACTACTCCTTTATCTATTGCAACATCTGAGATATAGCTGCATTTTCTTTCTCTATTCTTTTATGTAAACACACTTCAAGTGTCTTATAAATGGGAGATGGTAGTTGGCAAGTAAGTAACTTACAAGTTGCAATTAGTTCATAAATTAATGCCAACATATATCAATACAGTATATCACACAACAAATTTAATGAAATCCTCTCAGAGAGATAGACACAACATTTTAGAGAAAGATTCTGTATAAATCAGCCCAGGTGGCTTCCTTTCACGAGGACAGGCAGGATTATTTTCAGTGCAGTTGAAGCAGGGGAGAGAAAAGCCCAGACTGATTTGCAAGCAGTTTCCTCAATACTCATTGGAAAGGGAGTTTTGCTTTGTCACAAGTGAGCAGTCCCTGATTTTGAAAGAGAATGAATCATTCTCCTTTGAAACAGGAGATAAGTGGAAGAAAGCTGTTTAAAAATTATTTTTACAACTATTTCCTTTTGAGCTATGACTTCTTAAACTGGAATGTGATCCAGAATAGCTTTGCTTTGAATCCAACATTTGTCTTAAGCATTTTCACTGTCTCTCTCTTCACTCGCCTCATCTCACTTATTTCCTCCCTCTCTGTTCAATAGATTTACACTGACTGGGCCAACCACTATCTAGCAAAATCGGGCCACAAGCGGCTGATCAAGGACTTGCAACAGGACATTGCAGATGGAGTACTGCTAGCCGAAATCATCCAGATCATTGGTAAGAACTGCCCTCTGAGAAAACCAAAGAAAGTTTCTGCTTCTTTGCTCTTTGATAAAAACGCAAGTTCATTACAAACTAACTTGCTCCATGTGTCTTTGAGATTAATGTAGTACTCTTGTGATTTAATTAAACATGTTTATGTGAGAATGTTTGAAAAAAAATGGCAGTTTGGCCCTACTTTTAAATGTCTTGAACTGTATCTTTACATACATTGGATTGTCAGAAATGAAAGCTTCATTAAACCATATGTCTCCCATGTGTGCATTTTGTTAGCTGGAGCAACTCATACACTCTGAGATTCCTTGAAACTGTATCCTGATCTAGCAGGGACAATTGTGAAAGGTTTCATGTCAGCAGTCATTTGGCACCAGCTTAAGAATTAGCAGCAACTTCCTTCTCACTCACTTTTTTTTTTCATTTTTGCCTGATTTGTACATATGAAATTGGCGGCTGTTAACAAGTGTGCCCTCTTGTACACTGCGTGGGAGACAGAGTGAATGTAGCAGCAGCATTTTGCTTGGTGGTTTTTTTTGTTTTGTTTTTTGCTTTAGGCTCCTTTTTTGTATGTGTTTCACTTCATGGCTTAAGCATGTCGTTCTTTTTTTCTCTCTTTTATTTTATGTCTTGGCTTTAGCAAATGAAAAAGTTGAAGATATCAATGGATGTCCTAGGAGTCAATCTCAGATGGTAAGAATCACATTTATTCTAAATGAATGCTTATCTGCACTTCCTGATTTAACTGCATTAATAAATGGAATTGAAAGTTTTTGCAATTTTGCAATTGAAAGTCTCTCTGCTTAAGAAATCATTTGATGACAATAATATATATTTCTTTGGATATAATTTATGAACAGTTGAGTGTGTATGACTACTAAATAACATGTTTCAGGTGTTTTATCAGATCTCTGACTTGTTTCTGTTGTTCAGATGTCTGAATATTTTAACTTAATACTGTCTGAGTGTTAATAAATCAAATTTCCAAATGGAGGCTTTTTGAAGAACAGAATTTGAGAATTGGTTTGAAGAAGTGAGCTTGCATGTGTGTTTTAAAAATATAGAAATAGTGTTTTCTTTGTTCATGACAAAGTCCAATGTAAACACATAGATCTTCAACACTTTGGGAAATAGGCACACTGTTGGAAGTTTTCTGAGTACTGACTGAATGTGAGATATGATTATTAGCCTTTCCAGAAAGCAGTTAAGCTAAAGTACCAGACCTCTCTTAACTTTACCAAATGATAAAGCTCAGAGTTTTATAAGAAAATAATGAATTGATAAATGGCTGGAATACAAACTCAACACTCAGTAAAATAGCAAAAACTTAATTTTATATAACAGCCTAAAACACTATGTGTCTCAACCGAAGACACATCAGCAAGTATCAGAAATGACAGCCAAGTCGGCCAAAGGAGGCCTCTTTCCCAAAACTCTCTTTAACACTGAATGGAAATTTTAAATAAAATTAATGAGAAATTAATTTAATTTAATTGTCAGATACTGGAAGAATGAAAAACAATGTCAACCATCTTTGTGTCAGAAAACAAATCCATACTTCTAGAAGAATTTTTTTTTCAATTTATTAACTTGCTTTTCTGGTGGGGGGTGTGTGTGTGTGTGTGTGTGTGTGTGTGTGTGTGTGTATGTGTGTGAGTGTCTATCAACACTCTTGGACTCTTATGAACTTATTATAATGATATGAACTCTATGTAAGCAATGTGAAAAATAATCACTGTAAAGAGAAATTCACTGTAAAAATGCTTAGATTTTAGGAAATTTGCTCTTCTAATTGCATGAATTGAAAACACATGTGACTATACGGGGATTATTTATAATTGTTTTCTGAAGTTTTACTGAAAGCTATTATAATACCTTCAGGACCCTGCTACAGTAATATATGATATTAGGAAATATATAAGTTAACTGTGTTGAAGAATTTTCATGTATATTATGAAACTAACTAGTCGATCAGAATGACAGTAATTGTGTATATTTTACTAATACCTAAAGTGATATGAATATGCATAACATTGTTGCTACAAACTGTCAAGAATTATACCTGCTAAAAGATTTTTAATATTTTACATTTAAGAGATCTAAAGTCCGCAAATATAATGTAACATTTTAATGTTTTTTAACCGATAACTATTGGCTTATACTTATGTTGGATACTATAACCCTTTCCTTATTGGCTTTAATTACAGAAATTCTGATAAAGAATCAAATTAATACTTCATGAGGGGAAAAAAAAACCTCTAAATCACTTAACAATAGCTAGAGATATAGTTAGATATTTATCTGAAACTCTGTACCGAAGATTTAAAACTCTGTTCAGATATCATCAGACTCTAAGTTTTGTATTGCTTTCTACTCCTTATTATCCATAAAATATCATGTAACATTTATGATACATGCTTTGTCAAAATTTCTGCTTCAGATAAAATGTAAAAAAAAAACTTAAAAGTCTAATAAGTGGAAATGGAAAAAAAATTAATTTTTGCAGTTAGAAAAATGCCAGAGTCACCTTGAATTTTGAGTGAAAATTACTAGGATTCTATTTTTTTGAATGGGTTAAATTTTGAATCTGAAATGGACATATCCTCAGTTTGCTCACAAGAGATAAGTATATAACATTTTGGATGAATTTTTCTTGCCTCTGTTTTTAAAAATTGACGTTAGTACTATTATTAATGAGTAAAAATTCCAGATTTTAACTGAGGCAAGAAAGTAGAGGAAAGAGAATTACGATAGTATGACTAGGTTTATGAATTTCATATATCCAGTCCAAACAGGATGTTGCCAGTTTTTTATTGCATAGGAAGCAAGAAGAACAGCATTAGTAATATTGAGTGCTAGCCTTACTCATACAACTACTGTGACACATCTTTTTGATATTTGATCTTTTTTTGGCATTTTGTTACTGCTTGTGGTTAATGACAAAAGTAAGGTAAATCTAGGTTTACAAATATTTCTAGTCACCATTTGTCATTATTCAAGTTTAAAACTTGATAAACTTTGTTGGAACATTTTAAATGCTTAAAAACAAAAGCTTTGGAGCCAGAAAGATAATACAGTAGGTAGGGCACTTACCATGCTTGCAGCTAACCTGTGTTCAATTCCTAGCACATGGTTACCCAAACACCACTAGGATGATCCTTGAGGCAGATCTAGGAGTAAGTCCTGAGTACCACCTGGATGCCTCACACCCCCACCCCAAGAAAATAGAAGTTCTATAGTATGAATCTACTATGTAGTAATGAGTCCCCATAATGACCAGGCAGTTCATAATTAGCACAATGAACTGAGTTTCAAGTTGACTTGGAGGGAATGAACTTAGTGTATCCCAGAAACTGACAGATGACTGCTATATAGACACGTAGTTCCTAAACACAATATCATTTTACAGAAGGTGCCAACCTAAAGGTCATATAGTTATAGTTGAACACAGCAAGAACTTTGGAAGCGATATGGGAGCCTGAATCTGTAGGCCAAGTTAAGAAGGTACTGTGTTGAGCCATGGATATTAAGTTATCAGTAGATACTTGCTTAGCATGTGTGAAGTCTCAATTTTGATCCTCAGCACAGAAAAAATATACATATATAGAGAAGAAAAATAAGAAAATGCTTTTGTTATTTTAAGACTGTCAAGGAGACTTTGAAAGATTTTCAAAGTTTGAAAGATGAACAATCTGATATAAATATTTAAAAATAGTACTATGGGAAAAAATCAAACTTATGTTTCAGTAAGTCAAACTTGATACATCCACTGGAATTTTGAGTAAGGGGTGATTTTAGCCAATCAGCACATGTTACTGATGTACTAGTAAAAAGTAAGATATTAGGTATAATATTTCTAGTGCATAGGTAAGACTGAAGTCATGGACAGGGATGAAATCACATATCTGTATAAAGGCAAAAAGGAAGAAGACTGAAGTTCTCCCATTGGAAATCATCAACATGTGATACACAGAGGTTTTCAAGTTACAGGGGAGAGTAAATAGAGCAATTTATCATTGAAAGAATGGATCAGTAGTGGGGATGTGCATTATTATCCTTAGAGAGCTATGGTAGCTTTAGCTACTAGGACTAATCATGTGACACAGGACAAAGTGAGATAAGCAGAATGTGTCAGGTACTGCTAAGTGCTCTGTAACCAACTAATCATGTTTCTGCAAGAGGTAGTTAGTTCTGGTAATTAGAATAGCCTCACTGACCTTTAGCTTGGCATCTTCTGTAAAATGATCTTGGTGTTTAGGAACTATGTGTCTAGAGGCACAGATATACACATATGTATATCCTGAGTTTGATTGGAAGCTAGTTTCTGATAGAAAGGTAGCATAAAAAGATAGTTTGATAGGAAGCCAGTGTAAAGAGAAGTAGGCAGGGAATGTGGTAGCAATGAGAGGAGGATTTGGGAACTTGGGGAAACAAGAGATAACACAAAATTTGAAAGCAATTGGCAGAGAAGTCCAGAAACTTTAATATTGGAAAATAGTGGGGAGTGGGGATGCATTTCCCTTTTTATCTTGTTGCACTGACTTACGATTGTCTGAAGATGTGGTTATTTAAACTGTGTTATGTATGGGGCCAGAGCGATAACACAGTGGGTAGGGTGTTTGCCTTGCACGCGGCTGACCCAGGTTTGATCCCCAGCATCCCATGTGGTCCCCTAAGCACTGCCAGGAGTAATTCCTGAGTGCAGAGCCAGAAGTAACCCCTGAGCATTGCTGAGTGTGTCCCCAAAAATCAATAAATAAATAAACTTTGTTATATAGACAATGAAGAAAAGAAATAACTTCAGAATATTATATGATAGTTATATGCTCTTTCCAATATGTTTTCCTGTTATCTGATAAGGAAAATGCTAGTTCTATTCACAGAATGAGTAAAGAAAACCACTAATAATCTTTTCAAATAACATGGGACAAGAATCACATATTTAAGCAAAATGTAAATGTATTGTATCATTAATTTTTAGCATGATTCTTGAGAGATTTTTATACCTGTTTATTGTTTTCAAAGTTATATTTTGAAATAAGTTTGAAACTCAGTCCTTTTCCTGAAAAACAGAACTTCTCAGAGCTTATTCTAAGCTATATTTAACCTCACCCAGAGAAGTTACAAATTTGGATGACACCTGTTGAGTAATTTTGGGGTGGGTGGCATCAGGATTCAAAATATATGCTACATGCCACAACTTTGGTGAGATTACATGAGGAAATAAATGAGTAAACTATAAATACCAAGAATTTCCAGAATGCCCAACAGATTAAATATAGCAGGAAAGAAATGCCCAACATTTATTTGAAATGTAGAGACACAAGTGCATGGCTCTTAAGACAAAAATGTAAGATATGTAAGGGAAAAGTTGTTTTGAATACCAATTTTTATTTATTTAAAATAGACCATTATATTTATACTTAAAGATCTTCACAACAGCATACTCTCTAGGAAATTTGATTCTGTGAAATAGTGCAAACACAGAATTGGATTTTATCTCATACCTAAGGATATCACAGTTCCTTTGCCCTATCTCTTTGCTCCCTTTGCCTTACCTTAGAAACTCAGTTGTTTTTCCAGGGTTGGTACAGAGAGTAGGGTGACTGCCTTGTACCTGGCTGAACACATGTGGTTGGTCCTCCAAGCCGTCCCTAAACACAGAGCCAGGACCAAGTCCTGAGTAACATGGA